GGTCAGCAGAACCGAATCAGTGGGGGCCTGGTCGGGGCAGCCTGGTCAGCAGAACCTCATCAGTGGGGGCCTGGTCACAGGGGACTAGGTCAGTGGTGGCAGCTTCTGTTGCACTTGTCTGATCAGTGGTGACCTGGCCAGTGGGGATCTGAGCAGTGGGTGCCTGTTCAGTGGGGCCTACTCAGTAGGGTCCAGGTCAGGGAGCACTAGGTCACCTCAGGCTTGGTCAGTGGCAGCCTGTTCACTGGAGGCCTGGTCAGTGTGCTCTCGTCTGTGGGGCCTGGCAGTGGGGCTCTGATTGGTGAAACCTGGTCAGTGGTGCCTGGTTCATAAGAACCTGGTCAGCTAGGACCTGGGCAGTGGTGCCTGCTGAGTGGGGTTCTGGTCAGTGAGTCCTGGTCAGTGGGCCTGATAAGTGGGGTCCTGGTCATTGGGGGCCTGGCAGTGGGCACATAGTCAGTGGGGTCTGGTCAGTAAGGACCTGGTCAGTGTGGCCTGGTTGGTGGAGGCCTGGTCATTGAGAGCCTGGCAGTTGGGGCCTGGTGGTAGGGCTTGGGGAAGGGGGTGTAATCAGTGAGAACGTGGTCAGGGAGGACCTGACGTGTGAAGTCTGGTCAGGAGGGACCTGGTCATGGGGGTGACTGAGCACTGCTGCAAGAGCCAGGGGCAATGTGGGTTATCGAGGGCCCTGTGGACAGCTGGGCTGGCCCAGCGGTGCTCAGCAGCCAGTTAAAAGTACACAAGGCAGGTGTTTGGACGGACTTGGGAGCTCTTGCACAGAGATTCTGACAGGACAAAGGTAAAGGAAGGGCCAGAGTGGCCAGAGAGATGGCCAGAGTCTATGGGCTGCACAGGATGGAGGAAGCCAGGGAACAGACAGGGTGGGCTGCTAGGGTGCAGGGAGAGGCAGATGCATGCTGGGAGGTCAGGCACTGTGAGGATTCTGGAAGCATCAGATGAAATGGGCTCCAGGTGCACCCTCAGTGCACTGGGCAGGTCTCAGGCCAGGCTACCTAGACTCCTGCCTGGTGATGTGGTCACTCCCTGGGGGACTGCTGTCAGGCCTCAGCCACCCACCCTGGGCAGCACCGTTCCCTCTCAGGACTGGACTTTCTCAGATTCTGCAGAGAGCACACCCTCCAGCCCAGGAGATGCAACCCCAGTGTGCAGCGTGAGCTCTCCATGGGCCTGGAGCATCCCCTGCCAGCCCTGAGCTCCCTCTTCTCTTAGGTCTTGCTTTCTCAGTGTCAGCAAAGAGGCCCCATTCTCCCTTCCCTAGGTGGTCTCCTGGGCTTGGACTTGGGGTGGATGGGGACAGGGGTTGTGTTCCCCTTGGCCCACTTAGGGAGGGGACTGGCTCCCAGCCTGGTACAGGTCCTGAGTTCTGCTTTGGTTTCCTTACAGTGACATGGATCTGCCCCTGTCAGTGGCCTGGTGGTTAAGGTAAGAGACTGTCCCTGCTGTGTGGGAGGCTGGTCTAGGGATGGACGACAGGATGGAGGTAGGGGGGCAGCCTGTGTGCACATTTGGTGAAAGCGGAAGTAACACACCATTCCTGGGATGCACCATGGTTTCTGCTAAACCTGATCCCAGGACTCTGTCCCTTAGGTGGTTTTACCAAATCCAAAACCCAGAACTGCAGTTGTGGCTCAGGGATCAGCACCCACTAGTGCCAGGACACTGCTGGAGGCTGGTACCCGACGAAAGCTCATGGGATCTGTGACCTGAGAACAGCATGTCTTGCTTGGAGTCATGAGGCCAGGCCACCAATTTCCACTGGGTCAGAGAGTCTCAGCCCCAGGGTGTGGACTTCCCTGGCTCCTTCTGTCTCAGTCCTGTCAGCACTCTGGAACCCAAGACCCAGGTTCCAAGAGCTACTCCAGGAATCCTGGCAGCTCAGCTGACATTATCGTGTTTCAATCAGGTAAAAATGTCAGGTGAGATGGACAGAAAACTGGCTCAAAGTGCTTAATGGCTGGAAGAAATCTAGGAGCACAAGAAGGTTACGTGGAGAGGGCAGGGCCACCACGACTGCTGTCTGCACAGCCAGGGATACAGGCACCCAGTGCTGTGGCCTGACACCACCTGCCTCTCAGATGGTGGGTGGTACACTGTCCTTACCTGGAGGACAGCAGGCCTGGGCACCAGCTTTTCTATCTGTCCCTGCAAGCATCACTCTCATGCCAGGGCCTGGACCACCCCTAGCTCAGGGGTTAGGGGTATCTCTTGGTGACCTAAAATAAAAAATAAGTCTAGATCAGAGCTCCCAACCCGAGCACTCACCCACTCTTTGAGTTACGGAGGGGAGGCCTGGTCCTAGGTAGACCTAACCTCTTTGTGGGACCATGGAGCCCAAGGCTGGAAAAGTACAGAATCCTCAGGCCCCAGTCCTCCCTGGGGTCAGCCTGTGGCCTGTCTCAGGGATCTCATCTGAGATATTTGCATTTTCCTGGGGTATTTCCATATGTAGATTTTACTAAAAAATTTGCTAAAAGCTCAGATGACCTGAAAAGCTCACTGCTTATTTACTGCACTCTGGGGTCTGTCTGGTGCTCTTCCGGGGCCGGGGCTGCTGTAGGCGGCAGGCGGCCTCCGCACCCGCGACCTCAGAAGCACTGCGGCGGCGGGGTGGCGGGAGACGCGCGTGCGGACAGCTGGCGCCCCCGAGGGCGAGCCGGGGTCCGGGAGGGTGCCCCCGCTCCCGGATGGTCCCGACCTGGCTCCAGCCTGGCAGCTGGAGACCGAGCTGGAGCTGGGATTCGGGGAAGAGCTGGGGGTCAGGGGTGGGTACACATCACACATCGGGGAAGGGCTGGGTCGCGGGGGATGGGCGGAGAGGATTGGGATCACTAGGAGCAAAACCGAAGGCTAAGGATGGAGTAGAGCGGCGAGGTCCCGGGACGGCGGGGGCAGGGGGAGGGGGTGCAGGCGGGAATGCTTGGAATCTGGGGAGCAGGTAGGAGAACTGGGGTTTCTAACAGCAGGATGGAAAGCTGGGGATGGGGCTGGCGAATGCAACCTCCTCCACAGCCTCCACCCCACTCCCAGACCCCCAGCACTGACAGTGAGCTCTGGTTAAGAGCAAGGCTCCAGAATCAGGCCCTCCTGGGTTCAAATCCTGGCTCCAGTGTGTGCTAGCTGTGCAGCTGAATCACTCAGTTGCTCAGTTTCCTCGTCTGTGATACGGCGATGATGAATGCTCACAGCCACCACCTCATAGCAATGTCGTGAGGCTCCCGTGAGTTAATCTGAGTCAAGCACTTGGCACACCTGGCAGGCAGGCTCAGAGCTCTGCAGCTGCTCCTTAGCGATTCTTATTTGGGGTTTCTCTCTCCAGCATCTGGATTACTGCCCGTCTTCAAGAAGACCTCCCTGCCCTCCTGCCTATCTCCCCCAGAGAGCTGCCTGATCACCTGCCATCCTCCCTGCCATTCCTGCTGTACCTGTGGGGAGCTGATCTCCTCAGTCCCCCCACTTTTCCCCTGTGTGCTGTCACCACCCCACCACCATGCACTCCCTTTCTGGCTGCTGATCCTGCTGTTGTCTGCTCCTGCTATGCTCCTTGGGAGTCCAGGGGTCCCTGGGGGCCTCCAGCACTGCCCCAGAGCAAGTCCATCTGTCTTACCCAGGTAAGTGTCCCTGACCCCTCTCTACACCTCTCCCAGCAAGGCCCAGCGGTGCTGCATTGTGAAGGGCTCAGAAATCCTACACTGTGGGCCCCTAGGCAGGTGGCTCGTTCCTCCTGAGCCTCGGTCATTCGCCTCTGTGAAATGGGGCGTACAGGCCATGGTACATCTGAAAGCACGGGGAATGATCACAGCACTCAGCCCACAGTGAGGACTCTCCGCTCTCCAAAGTGGGCTGCTGCTGTTCTTGTTCATTGATTGCATCCCTCTCATGTCTCCAGGACCTGGCACGTTCATTTGTGCACGGTGGGTCTTAGAGCCAGTTGTGGGAGTAACTAGTAGATGAGTGATGACAGAGCTGGGTTACCCAGTCCCTTCTCCGTCCCTCCTCTCCTCTTCCCATGAGGCTGGCTGCCTCCTGATCTTTGATTAGGATCCTTGCACTGTGGGGGTGAGAGCTGGGACTCTGGACCCTAGGCATTCAGACCATGTGGGTTAGAATCCCAGCTTTGCTATGTACCTGCTGTGTGATCTTGGGCAAGTGGCTTAACCTCTCTGGCCTCAGCCTCCTCATCTGGATAATGGGATAACATTAATACAACCTCATGGTGAGGTGTAATGAGTTTCTACCTGTAAACAGGTAGAACTGAGGTTGTGTGTGGTGGCTCACACCTGTAGTTCTAGCAGTTTGGGAGGCTGAGGCAGGAGGATCACTTGAGGCCCGGAGTTTGAGACAAGCCTAGGAAACACAGTAGGACCTCTACCTCTTAGGAAGAAAGAAAAAATCTTAGTCAGGTGTGGTGGCATGCACCTGTAGTCCTAGCTATTCAGGAGACTGAAGTAGAAGGATTGCTTGGGCCCAGGAGTTCAAGGCTACAGTGAGCCATGATTGGCCACTATACTCCAGTCTGGGCATCAGAGAGAGACCTTGTCTTAAACAAACAACAACAAGAAAATGGAGTAGACGGAGCACAGTGGTGCATGCCTGTAATCCCAGCACTTTGGGACGCCAGGGTGGGTGGATCGCTTGACCTCAGGAGTTCAAGACCAGCCTGGGTAACATAGCAAAACCCCATCTCTACAAAAAAATATAAAAATTAGCTGGGCATGGTGGCTCACGCCTATAGTCCCAGCTACTTGGGGGCTGAGGCAGGAGGATCACCTGAGCCCAGGAGGCAAAGGTTGCAGTGAGCCAAGATCATGGGTGATAGAGTGAGACCCTGTCTCAAAAAAATAAAGGTGGGGGAGACAGAGCCGAGCTTGGTATATAGCAGCAATTTCCATACATTTTAAAACTCAGGACCGTTTTACACTGCTAAAATTTATGGAGAATCTCAAAGAGCTTTAGTTTATGTGCATTATAGCTAGCAATATTTACTATAGTTTACTATACGTACTATATTTACTAATATTTACTATATTAGGTATTAAAACTGATGCATTTAAAATCTTTTATTGTCAGCCTGGCGCAGTGGCTCACTCCTGTAATCCCAGCACTCTGGGAGGCCGAGGCAGGCGGATCACAAGGTCAGGAGTTTGAGACCAGCCTGACCGACATAGTGAAACCCAAATTTTGTATTGTAAAAATACAAAAATTAACTGGGCGTGGTGGTACACACCTGTAATCTCAGCTACTCAAGAGGCTGAGGCAGGAGAATCACTTGAACCCGGGAGGCAGAGGTTGCAGCAAGCTGAGATCATGCCACTGCACTCCAGCCTGGGCAACAGAGTGAGACTCCATCTCAAAAAAAAAATTTACTGTCATTTAAAATTAACAATAACAAATGCCTTCTGTATTAATGTAAGTGGTATTTTTTGTTTTTTGAGACAGAGTTTCATTCACTCTTGTTACCCAGGTTGGAGTGCAATGGCACAATCTTGGCTCATTGCAACCTCTGCCTCCTGGATTCAAGCAATTCTCCTGCCTCAGCCTCCCGAGTAGCTGGGACTACAGGTGTTCACCACCATGCCCAGCTATTTTTTGTATTTTTTAGTAGAGACGAGGTTTCACCATGTTGACCAGGATGGTTTCAATCTCTTTTTTTTTCTTCTTCTTCTTCTTTTATTTTTTTTATAAAGACAGGGTTTCACCATGTTGGTCAGGCTGGTCTTGAACTCCCGACCTCAGGTGATCTGCCCGCCTTGGCCTCCAAAGTGCTTGAATTACAGGCGTGAGCCACTATGCCTGGCCAATTTTTATTTATTTTTTTTATTTTTAAATTTTTTTTTTAAGATGGGGTTTCACCATCATGGCCAGGCTGGTCCTGAACTCCTGACCTCAGGTGATCCACCCACCTTGGCCTCCCAAAGTGCTGGGATTATAGGCATAAGCCACCACGCCTGGCCTGAAATCTCTTTAGTATCTGGTTCAGTAACTGACACCTGGATTCTCCTCAGATCTGTTTTCATTTCAGTCTGTTGTGATTTGTTGTTTGGATTTTGCCTGTGAAGAAACTGTTCTTGCGCAGACATGGTTGAAACAGGGAGAAAAGCTGTTCGTTTTTTGAGACAGGATTTGGCTGTGTCAGGGTTTGGCACCAAAGTGTAGTTGGACAAACATGATTCACTGAAGCCTCAACTCCTAAGCTCAAGCGATCTTCCCACCTCAGTCACTCGAATGGCTGGGACCACAGGTGCATGACACCATCTCCAGTTAATTTATTCTTCTTTTTTTGAGATGGAGTCTCACTCTATTGCTCTGGCTGGAGTGCAATGGCGAGATCTCGGCTCACTGCAATCTTTGCCTCCTGAGTTCAAGCGATTCTCCTGCCTCAGCCTCCCCAGTAGCTGGAATTACAGGCATGTGTCACCATGACGAGCTAATTTTTGTATTTTTAGTACAGACAGGGTTTCACCATGTTGGTCTCAAACTCCTGACCTCGAGTGATCCACTCGCCTCAGCCTCCCAAAGTGCTGGGATTCCAGGCATGAGCCACCGTGCCTGGCTCTAGTCCTGGTCTTTTCTATCTGTGACAGTTCCTCAGTCATTCCTTATCTTTCTTTGTTTTTCACGTCTTTTACACCTTCAGAGAAGATAGGCTTCTTTTTTTGTGTGTGTGACAGAGTCTTGCTCCATTGCCAGGCTGGAGTGCAGTGGCATGATCTCGGCCCACTGCAGCTTCTGCCTCTTTGGTTTAAGCGATTCCCCTGCCTCAGCCTCCCAAGTAGTTGGGATTACAGGCACATGCTACCATGCCTGGCTGATATTTTGTATTTTGAATAGAGACGGACCTCATGATCTGCCTGCCTCCGCCTCCTAAAGTGCTGATATTACAGGCGTGAGCCACCGTGCCCGGCCTCCTTTTTTTTTTTAAGATGAGCATCTCACTCTGTTGCCCACACTGGAATGCAATGGTGCAATCACAGTTTACTGCAGCCTCTAACTTCTGGGCATAAGCGATCCTCCTGCCTCAGCCTCCCGAGTAGATGGGCCTACAGGCGTGCACCTGTAGTCCCAGCTACTCGGGAGGCTGAAGCAGGAAGAATTGCTTGAATCGAGGAGGTGGAGATTGCAGTGAGCCGAGAGTGCGCCACTGTACTCCAGCCTGGCGCCTGGCGATAGAATGAGACTCCGTCTCAAAAAAAAAAAAAAAAAAAAATGGCAAATATATGCTTATAAGTGCTTTAGACGGATAACTTGGATAACTCATTTAATCTGATCTCA